CTCATACTATGTTATGTTTACAAAGCTATGCTGTGAAAACAAAACATGATAGTTGCCTACAGTAAACATGGAGCTGCAGATATCAAAAACAGGATATGCCAAAAAAACAACTGGACTCCCCAAAAGGCCAATACTGGAACATGAATGACAAACAGCATGTGACAGGATGTGAAGTAAGTCAATGGCCAGACTGATGACTGGATGGTGTATGATGAAGCAACAGACAACATTTCACAGCTCCAAACATGAACACGTCAATATTCCATTACTTGGTTGAGGTGGCTATGAGGAATCCACCTGCGGATTTCCATTGTCTGTTGTGCAGTAACTGTTATATTTTCTGTTTGGCTGTACAGGGGGAGTAGAAGAAAATATGTTGTTTCATTAGGTAAATACAGGCAATTATCTAAAATATACTAACCATACAATAACATTATTATTTAATGGGGAAATGGAGAGATAGACAGGGGTAGGGGGGCAGTGGGAGAGAGAAAAGTGAGAAACAAAGGCGGAAAAAAATAGAATCGGAAAGACATAAGAGGGACAGATCATCAAGACAGAGATGAAATCATACAAATGGATGAGATAAAAGCATACACACATTATCTGCTTCTCCTTCTCCAGCTGTTAACTCTGGCATAAAGTTCTGGTTTGTTTGTCTACTTTTGGACTAAAGTCTCATTAAGTTTTGCATGCGTATCCATTTTACAGATCTGGCTTATTTGTTAGCAGATTGTTTGTTTCTCACCTCTCAGGAAAATGCACTCTGACTTCGAAATGCTCCTAATAAGTCAACTGTTATGACAGGTTTGTTGAGAGGGGTTGAGTTTATTATTTTCTTCAACTACAAAAGAGCCCCAAAACCCATTGTGATGCCCAAATGTGCCCCACAGCGCCCTGGGGATCCACAACCTCTTCACAGGGGCGCTGCAAAATATTAGAAGATCCACGAGTTTTTTTTTTTTTTTAAATCGCTTACAAACGAACAGTCATACTTTTACTTAGGTTTGGACACCGTGAACAATTTTAATTGAAAAAAGGTGCCGCAACAAAGAAAAGTTTGGGAAACACTGCCATAGAGGGATATTATGTGCTTGATGACTGCTTACATTAATGGATAAGGTACGAGAAATGGTGAAAAAAAGTAATGCCTCCTAGTTTTCATCTATGTAAATACTGTATGAGTGTGCAATTTGTAGATTTAGCAGGATTCCACAAGCACTCTTCTGCACTGTATAGCATTTCCAACCCGTTTCAATAACTGTAATGGTTTACAAATGGTTTCCAAACACGTTCGGGTAAAACAAGGTAATGTCACAGACTTCCGAAATTCTGAAGGTGGGACCCCGATTCACACCCAGGAAGGTTAGAGTAATGTTTTTTAAGATTCAACAGGGTGTGGGTAATCACCATCTGACATTTAGTACATTGTGACGAAGCTGAAGTTGGTCAGTCCTCAATGGCTGATACACAGCGGACTAGCTATCAGTCAATACTGTAGTTACTCCACACAAGGTCCATCGAATTGATGACCTCATTTGTGCAGAGTGTCAGGTAACACTGGATGTTGTCCACTAGCACAGGCATGTCCAGACCACCATTAATGCAATGAGTTGCTGAAAGGTTTGCGCACGGTGGGTACCTAAAATGTTAACAGACACAAAGATAAAAGGAAAGAAATAGCCATTAACCTCCTGTGCCATTACGCACCTAAAGGAGAAGAGTTATTTAATAGTGTTAAAGGTGATAAGACTTGAGTTCATTTTTTTAAAACCAGAATCGAAGAGGCAGTCAATGAAATGGTATCATACAACATTGCCGGCAAGAAAGATGTTCAAATGATCACCATCTATAGGGAAAGTAATAGCCTCCATGATTTGGGATGAGCAGTGTGTGATTCTTTTTAACTTCCTGGAGCAGGAAAACTTGGTGAATGCCCACAGTTGCAATGAAACTTTGAAAAAAGGTTAGAGGTCATCTTCGGCAACCTCACCCACTAAAAGACTACAAAATTGTATTGCTGTTACATGACAATACCATGCTACATGCAACATTGATATAACTGCAGAATTTGCCTGGATATTGTTACCACATCCCCCTTAGAGTCCTTATCTTGAATCTTCAGACTTCCATTTGTTTGGACCACTGAAAGAAGATCTTTAAGAACACAGACAGCCTTAAGTGTGCTGTACCCCAGCAGGTAAAAAAAAAAATGACAAAACAATTTTACTGTGCAGGGTTGCAGGCCCCTGTCACAATATGGACCAAAAAATGTAACACATAATGGACATGTTATTGAGAAATAAATGTTGGAGGTACACATGTAGAGATACAGTTCAATGTCTGTATAATCAGAGTGATCCATACTTATTCCTCTAGAAGATACTACAGAGTAATTCATACCTATTCCTATAGATGTGACCACAGTCCTTTAAAGGGCTACAGTTCAATGTCTGTATAAACAAAGTAATTCATACCTATACCTCTAGAAGTGAAAACAGTCCTTCAAGGGGCTACAGTTCAATGTCTGCATAAACAAAGTAATTCATACCTATAACTCTAGACGAGACCACAGTCCTTTAAGGGGCTACAGTTCAATGTCTGTATAAACAGAGTAATTCATACCTATACCTCTAGAAGTGACCACAGTCCTTCAAGGGGCTACAGTTCAATGTCTGCATAAACAAAGTAATTCATACCTATACCTCTAGAAGAGATCACAGTCCTTCAAGGGCCTACAGTTTAATGTCTGTATAAACAGAGTAATTCATACCTACTCTTCTAGAAGAGACCACAATCCTTCAAGTTGTTTTTAATGATGACGTCAGTGACAGCATCAAACACAAACTGGACATTGTTGGTGTCTGTAGCACAGGTAAAGTGTGAATATATCTCTTTGGTGTCTTTCTTTTGGTTGAGGATTCTCAAAACTGAAGCTGTATATAGGGCAGCTGCCTCCTCGTAGGTGTTGGCACCTGTTTCAACAACATAACCATATTAACGACATTTCAGAAATTCAACACAAATGATGTTCCCTATTGTGAATTTTGAAATAATGTGGAACAAGAGACAATGTGATTTGTTACATTTCTGTGGAAAGGATTTATGTTGTGTGCTTCATATACATGTTGATGGCAACTCTGCACATAATGAGAGACAGCCAAATATGCCAGGCCATAAATTGTGCTTTTTTGTGCTGTGTGTGTTCCTTCTTAGTCATTATTTTATGTCCCTCTGGGTTATGCTGTTGCCGACAAACTTTGTGATTTCAAAGTACACGATTTCATTCAGCTGCATGTGGATTTCACCATTTCAAAAAAAGTTATAAATTATAAGTACTTTGGGGAACTGGAAGAGTTGGAAAAGGAGGATTGCTGGGGAGGGGTGTGGCAATAGGAAGCAAGAAGTTGGTTCCGGGCCTATGCTCTAAGAAGGATCAAGGGCAGAAGAAGAAGATATCTATTATTTCACAGTTTCATGATGAAGCTAAACTAATTTCTGCCAAATTTTTTAAACAATTAAAAAAGGTAAAGATCCCTATTCACGCTTTAGGGGTATCGGGGCATATCAAAGGAATGCCCACATTTTTTACAGACCGTCGGCACTGGGGGTGTGTAATGTGGTCAGCATTAGGCCGGCTGTCTTTACTTCCCCAGGACCTGGTAACCATTTAAGGCTGGGTTGACCTGCGACGCCCCATACCATGATAAAAATCTACGCAGCCAGCAGTGAGTTTCGATCGCGGTACATTGGAATAACGAGTCTGACTCTCAACGCCTAAGCCACGGACACCGCTATTTTCAAACAATGCCATCTTGTTATTCAGTCACAGAGTCAGCCGATTTCCTGTCTATGGCTGGCAAAGTATGGCTACAGCTTTCCTTGTGCTTTTATCTATTTCAGCACATTTAAATGGATTTATAATTCCCACCCAGGAAAATTTGAAGAATGATTATGCAGATTCAACAGCGGGTGTAAGCACTGTCTAGGCTGGGTACATCCTGATGAAGCTAAAGAAGGTCAATCCTCAATGACTGATGCAAAGTGGACTAGCTGTCTGTCTACTTCAGTTACTCCACACAACATTCATCAAGTTGATGACACCATATGCAAGTGGCCACAAAGATCTGTGCACACCTTGGACCCATCATTTCAATGATATCTACCTCCCAGTGTTGGATTCAGTCAGGGTCTCACTGCTAGGAGGACACATAGTAGTCCAACTGCTCCCTAACAAGCATGCAACAGGAAGTGACTACGAGGACGGTGTGGTTGAAACCAGATGTGTTGGGCCAAAATGTGTAAATATTGCAGCCTTGCTGTAAGCCACAACACAAAAAAGTATACGTTGTATTTAGTACTCCGCTGATTAGGACTTAGTCAAAACATTTGGTTGTATTTGTGCACGTCTTTTCCATTCAATCTGTTAGGTTTTCTAGTCATATTTTAGGTTAACACTTCATGTCATCAGCTCAACTGCAGTCATCCCCTATTTACATCACAACACAACATTATTGAACTTCCATGATTATTTACCACACACTGACCAGACGTTTGCTAAAAGTGGTTGAGGCTGTATCAATAAAACCCTACTCTCTTATGTTATGTAAACAGAAAGATCATGCGATCAATTTGAATTTACCATGGTATGATTACTGATTCTGAATTTACGGCGCATAGATGTACATCAACTCGACAATGTGGTTTATGCATTTTAGCAAGAAAAGGATTTCATATTGTAGGATCATTCTGTGCTTCATTATATGTTGATTTCACTCTGTAGTAACGCACCTGAAGAGATCCAGCAAAATATGCCAGGCAATAAATTGTGCAATGCATTGCTTGTGTCCGCATTATTTAAATTTACAACTGGGAAAACATTGTTTCGAATAATACAACATGCCAACTGAATGCAGACGAAGAAGAACAGTATGTACTGCTGGAAGGAAACGGGCGGGGGCAGAGATAAAAACTTAAGTATCCCGTGAAAGAAATCTTACCTGTGTACTCTGGGAAGCAAATGGTTAGTGGAGATTTTTTTATCTTTTCCTCAAACAGATCCTTTTTGTTGAGGAAAAGGATGATAGATGTTTCAGTGAACCATTTGTTGTTGCAGATTGAATCAAACAGCTTCATGCTCTCCATCATTCGGTTCTGAAACACAATCATTCTCATGCCATTAAATATTAAATGTCTAATAAAGTTATCAAAGTTATGGGTTCCGGTCCTGACAGACACAGTCGCAAATTTTTTCCAAAATGATCATGACTCCCAGTTCGACCCAGCCTGGATGGGTACCAGGTGGAAGTAAAGGTAGCCAGCATGACACTGACCATATCATCCACCAAGAGCCGAATTGTCTATAAAATATAGGTCTAGTGAAACACACAGCTCTTTTGATAGATGCAAAATCCAGTTGTCTCAAAATAAAAAATAAAAAAATAAAGTGCTGGTTCCCACATTTTGTTTTTTCACTGAAAAGTTTGAATCTAATAATGGTCGGGCTATTCAACTGGGGGTCCACAGGCCAAATTTGTAGAGGCCTAGCAAGTGGTCTGCAGATCACCTGACAAGTGTATTTTAGTAAAGACTTTTCTACGCCAAGGCTCCGACTTCTGGCTTGCCACAATTCTCATTTTCAACATTTTGGCCACTGGGTGAACTTGGGCAAATGTTCCTGGCTCCTGGAAGGGTAACCCGGTCAACAAACGCCCGTAGAAGTCTGATGTGCCGAACGAAAGGTGCCAAAATTGCAGACATGCTGTAAAGGGGCACAAGGCAATTACATCTGCAGATGAACAGGGAAGAAAAAAATGGAACTGGTCTACATGCTAGAGATAACAAAATAGCAAATAGTAAGCAAACCAATATAAAGGTTCTCTGTTCCCACCATTAGGCATATTGAGAACATGGAGCCAGATTCATACTGTAAACTACTCACAACTCATTAGGGTGAGTGATCAGCTGCCTTTACTTTCTATGGAATTTCCTGGCACCCCTTGTAGGACCAAGCTGATCTAGCGGCAAAGCTCAGTGAAACTATTCTCCACTTCAACAAGTATTTCAGGGATTGGAGTTTATGACCAACCATAGCACACACAAAAAGTGGCGCCCAATAAAACAGTGATTCCCTAAAGACCAAGGTCCGTTCCCTCCATATTTTTAATAGTCGTTTTGAAGAATTTATAAAAATTAGAACCATACAAATAGTTTGCATTCTGAAGTTTTGTTTTGTTTGTTTGTGTATGTGTGTTTAAAAAAAAAAAAAAATCATATCACGGATCCACTACATGTGTTCCGCTGACCTCTGGAGGGTCCACAGACTACTAAATGGGAAACTGCACTAAAATATGGATTGTCTTACTTTGTATGCAACTCACCATTTCCTGATCTTCTGCCAAAGTGAGGTCGTACTCACTCATGGCCACGATAAAGATAATGGCAGTGACACCTTCAAAACAGTGGATCCACTTCTTCCTCTCTGACCTTTGACCTCCCACATCAAACATTCTGGAACAAATTTAAGTTTTAAATGCAATATCAGAGGATGAAGAATATTCTATGCATTATATCTTTGTTAACTCTTTCAGTCCCAGGGAGTTTAGCATCAGAGGCCCAGTTGGCTGTGCAGAGAAATGTATAATCAGTGCATCTTGCATTCACTGGGCTTCTAGACTATGACCATAGGATGTGTTCCTTTGAACAGAAAGAGTTAAATGAGGTAATAAAGTGAGTTCTCACATTTTTAACTAAAAAACTGTTATCCTTTAAACTCCTTCTACCCAGAGAAGTTGAATTTAAAACCATTTAATATTTAGGTGTGAAAGTGCTCAACAGAGACAATATGCAACATATGTGGTTATAATACTATTATAGATCATCATCATCACGTAGCAGGTCCTTTGCAGAAGGTCACTCTCATCATGGTCTGTCTGAAAGAAACAGTCATGCCAGCTCTCCCGTCTTGTGTACTTTCTTACCCAAGCAGCAACTTATATCCTGTGCCCATCTTTATGCTGGTCGGCTCCTGCCCCTCCTTCCTAGCACCACGCCTTCTGCTATTATATTTGTCTAATCAACAGTTACGCTTGATATGGCTAAAATATTGCAGCTTCCAAGACAAGATACTGTTTATTAGCCAATACAACTGGCAATGATCCGCGGGCCACCTGATAGGCCTCTGTGGGCTGCCAGTTGAATAGCCTTCATCTACACTGTTCCAGTATGATGATAACAGTCATGATGACAATTATGATGATGATGACAAGAAAGATGATAAAATAAATAACACCAGCCTTACTTGAAATGTAAATCTTTAAAGGTGAAGTGTGTCTCCACAATGCCAGTAGTTTTCACCCTGGTCCTCAGCACATCCTGCTCTGTGGGAATGTAGCCAGGAGCTGATATTCTGTCCAAGGCATTCAGGTAACTGAGGATTTCACCAAAAGTCCATCACAATTCTTATCTCTTCACTGTACAGATTCTTCTTCTTCTTCTTGGCATTCAGCTGTTGAAACTCTGGTTTTTAGTCCACTTTAGGACAGGCATCTTATTTCAGAACCTGGCTTCCAGAAAGAGTGGCTTAAAGATGTGGCTTATTTGTATGCAGACAGTTCCTGCTCTCTCAGGCAATTGCACTATGACCCCGAAAAAATACCCATAACTAGTAATTTTTTCTCAACCTGCTATTTTGGGGGGCATCTGGTCTACCCTCTCCCCCCCCCCCCCCCCACCTCCACACACACAACCCACCCCCCCCCCCCCCAAATGAGCTCTAGACCCGGCATGGGGACTGCAATGCTTAAAAATTGGTACTAAGGAATTGCAGGGGGTTGATTTGGAATACAAATTCTAATGTTTCAAGACGAGTGTGAGTACACTAGCAAGTGCTCGGAGTTTTTGGGTGAGTCCTGTCCACATATCAGTTCAATGCTTTGCTCTATTACTATACATAATGTGGCTATCTGGTCAGTACAGGATCTGTTTCGCCAAAAACCTGCCTGCTCATCTCTTAGCTTTTTATCAACAGCATCTTTTAATCTTTCCAAAATAATTCTACTTAATATTTTACAGCAACTGACAG